CGTCTGAAATATGATTCGATTAAACATCAAGATGAAGCAGCAGACGAACTCTTCCTCAGCGTGTTTTGGATTGTAGTGACCCGAGCAGCAGCTCAGACTCCAAAATAACATTGTGAGTAATTTAAAGGTCGATTCTGGTGTTTTCTGTCTTTGATGTGATCGAGTTTGGGGAAAAGAAGAAATGAAAATCGAGGGATTAAGTACAAAATTGTATCCCAGCTTCGAAACGACAAATTTACAGAACATGTAAGTTAAGAGGTAAATTAAATATGTGTGTATATTTGTTAATTTCTCATCAGATGTGACTTTACTGCTGCTCTAAAACTCACCCTTCACCCTGGATTTAAAGGCCAACAAATACATGTAAAAAAAAAAAAACATTTAAACATTTAAAAAGTTCTCGTGCAGCACTTTGTTAGTGAAACACTTTGAGATAAAACTGAACTGAATTGAATTTGTAGGATTTGTCAGGACTTCCAGCTGTGTGTGACAATAATTTCTAATAATATAACTAATTTGTTAAAGTGAGGATTTACGATTACAGCAAAGTTTAAGGAGCTAAAATGTTCACCTTGGAGCTGCTGCAACACAATCCACCGTTGATAGTTAAAGTGTTGCACCTCTAAACGGACTTTATTAACGACTGTAAGCTACAACTAAGACCTAAATACTACATTTTAAAGGTCTTTGTGTTTAAGGAAGCTGTATTTATGACCTTTAAAGACATTTTTAAGTCTTGAGAAAACCTCAAACTGCTGTGAATCCAACCTGACCAACAGCAGCCACCTTAGAACCCTCCCGCCTGTTTATTTTTCATCCTCCTACCTCCTCATGAGCTGCCAGAGCAGAGCGAGGGTGAGGGTTCGGTTCCCGGCGTTCAGGTCCTGCCCTGCGATGCCGACCAGAGAGAACTTGGCCTTCTCTTTGCCCAGCTCCACCGCGTAGTTGCAGTTCTCCAGCTGGAACGCAGAGTTTAGATTTGAGACACAACAAGGACGACAAACTAGATACGAACCAAACGATGAATCATTAGGTCGTCTTTTTGGAGGTTAAGTGTGAAACTAATTGAATTTTCTGAATTGTGAAAACTCTGAGGCTGATTTAAGTTTCATAAAAATGTAAAGGAACGAGGAACTCAGCATGATGAGCAACTTTACTTGATGAATGACTCGTTTATAAGCCGCTGGAGTTAATAAATAAAGTAACAATAAAGTTAATAAATTATTAGTTAAAGCTTCTACATTACATCACACCTGCAGCTGGAAACATTCATTTCCTCAGAAGTGATGGAATTTAGAGGAAAACTAAAAACCCAGTGGCTCTTCTTTGTCTCTAAATCGTTTTTAAATCAACATTACTGAAGTGATTAATGAGAGTTTATGAACCGGTTATACATTCTGCCCAATCAGACAGAGGTTCAAACGCCAGGAAAGTATTGAAATGCTTCATGTTTGCCTTTAATTTGTCAGTGTTTTGTTAGTTTTTGCTGACTGCTGAAGCTGCCACTGTGAGCTGAATGTTGAATCTACCTTCTTCATGTTGCTGCCCAGTTTGGGATACGGAGGCTTGTTGACTCGGTCCCAGTCCACCGGCACCTTGATCTTCTCGTACAGCTGGAAGATGACCAGAGCGTCGTCGATGTCTCTGTGACGCACAAACACACAAACACACAGGATGTTAATGTGTTGTTCATCCAGCTACACTTATCTATCTGTCATTAGGTCCTAACGTTCTTTATGTCAAAGTCTGGTGAATGTTTTCTCTTTAAAAAGTGTCGTTGATTGACATAAAGACTCTCTAATGACAACAGAAACACTGATTATTATAAAATAAACTAATGAGACGGAGCCAAAGGCAGCACTGACTGAGTCTAAAGTCATCTCTAGTCATAAGCAGCACTTCTGTCTTTCACATGACCTGCACATCAAACAATTTCCAGGATAGAATTTATTCTACGTGCAAACTCGTGGCTTCGGTCATAGTGTTGGTGGATTCTTTTCAGTGACGTTTGTCTGTCAGCAGGATGATGAGAAACATATAAAACGTTGATCTGGATAACTGTGAGAAATTGTCGGATGGGGTTTTCTAGTTTACAAAAACATCTACAGAATGATTTATGGTTTTTCATAAATGCACCGTTCAGTCAAAAACTATCGGAACAAATTCAGAGTTCTGTATTTTAAATGCTAAAGTCAGGAGAAATCTGTTCAGAAAGTCATAAGAGTGGATTTCACCCTTGTTGATATCTGAAAATGAAGAAGATCCACTTGGATGAAGTGAAGCAGCTGAATCCCTCCTGCTACATGTAGCTGATCTAAAAAGCCGCCATCCCAGTGGATCGCATGTGACTTTGGTGGGGAGACTGACTTTAAATCACAGATTTAATGAATTGTTTGTTGACTTCAATACAACTATTGAGAGCCACTGGACAGAAAAGAGCTCAGCCAAACTCAGAAATACTACACTGAAGTTAAAATGGATCACAGAGACTTTCATTAGATTCTGCATAAATGTGCGTCACACATGATAATATCAGACGTTTTTTTGCAAGGTTCTTGTTTCTCCACATCTTTTTTCTGCCTCTTTACTACTCGAGAGTTATGCAAGCTGTGTTAGAAATTATAAATGAAAGTTTGGAGCATTCTGGGTGCAAATTCAGGAGCCTTGTGCCGCTCCAAAGCATGAAGAGCCATTTACAGAAGCTCAGATCCATTATTAAATCTCAAAGGATGGTTTGAGGGATGCTCAACTTTAAGATGATCCAAATGCAGGACGATGACTGTATTTACTTACTGTGTAGCTTCTATGGTGAAAACACTCAGATATAATGGAAACATTTAAGCCTTTTTGTCCATTTTACTGTCCATAAACCTTCTGATTTTATTACGGCTTCTGTAGTTGCTGCCTTCTGCCTGCAGGGGGCGTTGTGAGCAGATAAAGAAGAGCTTCCTTACGCGTAGAGGTGGTTGACACGAGGGTTGACGCCCAGCGAGTTCATCCAGTTCCTGAAGGTTCTCTCCTCCCTGGTTTCACCTGCACACAAACGTCAGCGAATCAGCTCAGCTGGAGCGAAACATAAAGACCACGTAACGGTCGGAGGAGGATCTGAGGTCTGGACCTTCGATGGAGCTCCAGTCGATGTCCTGGTTCTCGGGCTTCTTCAGGGCCGGGTACTTGTTGAACAGATTGGCAACGAAGGCCACGTTGAGCTTGGGGTTGCCGCGGACGACGTCGGCCGGCATGACGAACTGCCTGCAGCCGAGCCGGTCGGCCTGGTCCAGCATGCACTCGGCTCGCTTCAGGTCGTCCTTCTCCTGCAGGGACGGACGAAGACGGACTTCAGAGTTTACATCAGCTCACAAGACTTCTCTACTAACTCTATTTTTCTTTCTAATAACCTTGACTTGCACACAAAAATCACCAAATTATACATGATTGTAGAAACGAGCTGGTACTTTACTGATACCTGTAGACCAGAAACTACCAAATTATACTTAATATATGTATTAAATACTTGCTATGTACTTGTAAGATAAATATATATTAAATACTTGTTGAAATAAATGATCTAGCAACATTTTTGTTTAATTGTTGAATTTTCTGTAGTTATAGTTTCTCACATGTGAACATTTTGCTGCTCTTTTGTGTTTAATGTGACAGCAAAATGAAAATAACATTTATTTCACTTTAACATATTTATAAGGTTAAATTAGATTCTGGTACTTGACTGGTTATAAGCTGTATGTTTACTCATTTTATAAACCAGAAGAACTGAAATAAACTCTAAAAATAATCTTTATATTAACCAATAAATGAAATAATTGTTATTTCAGCTCTATTTTATTGGCATATTCACACAGTTGTTTATCCAAAATAAGAGATAATGTAAAGTCAAATTAAATGTATGTGACTGAAGGTAAGAAAAACTCAGATGTGGCGTGTTTCCAACAACATACAGACCATCTACAAAAAATATAAATGAACTTATCATCTGGATTTTCAGCCATAAAGTGAGCATACCAATGATTTATGAGGTCATTTATTAGACTGAGGAGACTAAAGGACAAGTTAATCCATCAGCTATCCCTGTAAACTGTCAGTTTAAATCAATCCAGAGCGTTTTCCTCACCCTGATCCCCGACATGTCGATGGCGATGGGGGGGATTCCGTCCTCGTCTCCTTTGGGCGCCACCTGGTTCAGGATGTTGTAGTACGCTTTGGAGTCCTGCAGCAAACGGTTTGGACGTTAACGTATCACAGATACAGCATGTTTACGAGGACACTTTAAACGTTCTACGACTCACCTGGAAACAAGAAGCACAGTTTTATGCTTTAACACCTTACAGGGTTTCCACAAAGACTCAGACGTTGAAAGAAATCAGAGACAAAAGGAGGAGAAAGCTCAGAGTTGGCTGCTGCTGGATGCTACTCAGTTAAAAAGTAACGCAATTACAACCTTTCTGATGTTTTCTGGTGACGCCGACGTTTTTTTGTGCGACACATCTTTTGCCTAAATTGCTGATTCACTGGAATAAATCACTGGAACGTTTTGATTTCTATCATGTTTCTAACAAACTACAACTTCTAAAACTACAAGAAACGGAGACTCGACAGATTTATACCGAGAACGCTGTATTTAATATTTAACAAGTGAAAAATGCTTCCAAACTGTGTTAAACAAAAAGATGCACAAGTGAAAGTAGAGAAGAATATAACAATAAAACTAACACATTTTAATGGGATATTTTGCAGGGACGAACCTGCATCTTATTACAGTCTGAACTGACAACCATCTGAGACTTTTCCTCTCATTTTGCCAAAATAACCAAGAAAACTGAAGGCAAATGACATGAAACCAACTCATGTAGCTCAAACTAAACTCGGAGGGAAGCAGCAGTGGGAATTTTTATTTTTCTTAATTTAAACCAATGTTAAAGACAAGACAAAGGCATCAGATCTGTGTGGAGCGATGAGGAAACTGTATTCTTCCTCATATTATTACATGAAGTCAATAGAAATATCCCGTTTCCATCATATTTTCTTCTTTTTTTTTTTTAACTTGTTGTGCTCCGACTACAGAATTGCCACTACCTGCACCACACATGTACATTTTATTATTTTTTGAGGTGTTTTTTTTTCTTCTTTGAATTAATAAAAATAAACCTGTTTTCTAAATTCTAGGGTTGTATTGGAGGCCAGACACCATTTTTAGCAGTTACAGTTGTAAAAACACGACGTGGCCTTGTATTTATTTCTGTCTACAGCAGATTTGAATAAAATCTAAACAATAAAGTGAAACAAGATTTGGATTCATTTGTAGATTCTTTTGTTGATTGTCAAAATTTGTGGTCCTTTTAGATTTAAACGTCACTCAGAGGTGAGTCCAAGCTGTCGTGTCACATCTGCGCTGAAGCCAAACATCAGCTGACGGAGGGTTTTGAAGCTCACCTTGATGTCGGAGCTGAAGTTGTTGATCTTGCCGCAGCCGGCCTCCTGCAGGTGGTAGTTGGCCCAGCGCAGCAGCAGCTCCTCGGGGGAAAGTTTCATCAGATCCTCCAGACTCTCTCCATCACGCAGCAGAGCGATCAGAGCTGCACACATTTTAAAACATTAGACCGCTTTGAAGGCTTTTACGCAACACACTGATCGTGTCTGAGCATTAAATATGAACCCGCAGTCTGCAGCTAGTTAGCTTAGCTTAGCATATGGCTTGTTTTGTTATCGGTTTTGTCAAATATTCATATTAACTAAAGCTGTCAGATAAATGTTAAGGAGTGAAAGTGTGAAGTAGAACCAAATGGAAATACTCGCATAACGTACCAATACTTTAGTAATAGTACTACCTTCCACCACTGGAGCCATGCTAGCTGTTGGTATTTGCTGCTCTGACATGACAATAGAATAAATCTGAACTTTAAAACTTCCAAAAATGTTGAACTACTCCTTTAAGGTCAACGTTTAGGCTGCTATGTTGGATTCTTAACATTAAATCTCGTGATACGTGTGGACAGGAACAGGAGGAAAAACACCAGCTTTGATTCAAAGTTGAACACACACCTTCGTTCCTGCTCAGCTCGATGTCGGCGAACAGCCCGATCTTGATGACCTGCCACAGCAGACCCAGCACCAGGTGCTGTCGGCCCTCCTTCAGGTCCTCGGCGCCGATGTTGACCACGTGGCAACCGATGGCCGACGCCGAGTTCAGAGCCAGATTCAGGTTCTCCTGTTGGACCAGACGTCAACGACACACCGTCAGACTGCTGACTACACTCAGTGTCAGTCACATTATGAATCAAACTGAAGACAGGAGTGTGATTCTGCTCAGAGGACTAGTAGGTTGGTCTGTCAGGTAACGTCAACATGGTGAAAAAAAAGATCTTGTTTTGTCCACAACCCAACGACACTCAATTTACTGTCATAGAGGAGGAAAGAAACCAGAAAATATTCACATTTAAGCAGCTGGAATCAGAGCATTCAAACTCAAACCAATCATCTAAAAAGCTGATTAATAGTTAATAATCTGACTACTAGCTGCAGCTCTGGCTCAGGTTCCCTCTCTCTCACCTGGATGGTGAAAGGTGTGAGCTTCTTCTTGTTGATGGTCCTCTCATCGATGGTGTCGGGGACAGACAGGTTGATCATTTTACTAACAAGAAAAAAAAATCCGAGATGATCAGTTCAAACTAAAGCACAACCTAGAAACGACTTCATTAATCAGCTCTCTGTGATCTCTGTTTATCCAGTTAAACATCTTTACATTCACTAGATAAACTCTGCCAACATTTCTGATCCTCTGACGTCCATGAGGTTGACATTTTAGGTGAATTATCTCAGCAGCTCTTCCTGTGATTTAGAGCGGAGCGTACCAGAGGACGATGCCGTCTCCCATGGCGGTGAACAGGTCGTTGGTGTTGGGGTCCATCGGCAGAACGTGTTTGCAGTCTGCGTCCTTCTCCAGAGCTTTGTTGATCCAGTTCACAAAAGCCACTTTCTCCTCCTCTGCAGACCAAACAGATCCAACGTTAGACCACAGGGAGCAGCTGGGTGACCGTCTAAAAGAAAAACTCTGATACACGTAGGTGTAAAAATAACTTGACATCAAATGGTTTCAGTAATCCTAACTGACCTACAACAGGAAACGTTTAGTCACATCTAATGTCAGATAGTGAGAAAAAAAAGGTTATGTGTCTTTTTATACGGTGTATGTAAACTTCTGGTTTCAACTGTAGATACTGTGTGAGCAGGCGCCTCAGACTGCCAACAGCTTTGTCAAACATCTTGTAGGTCAGTTTGTTGGCACCAAGGCAAACGTGTACTGTGCAGCAGAAGAAAAAGAAGCTTCCCACATAGTTAAAGCAAGCGACATGTGCTTATTTAAAGAGTTCAACTGGTTGGATTTTGTTTCTTGTGATCCTGATATTGTTTGTATCAACTGCAAAGGCCAGTTCCTTTATTGCTTGGTTCACTTGTAAGAAGAATATAAATTTATCTGGATCAAATGAACCGGACGGCAGGTTTGAAATGCTCTAATGTGATTCTGATATGATCGAATATAAATAAAATCTATTTTAGTTTGATTTGGCTGTAATGTTTTGTGATCTGCTTCTGGTTTCACTGTAAACATGCACACATGTACGCTTCAGTTGTAGTTTTTAATCAGCTGTTGTTTCCAGACCTGAGTAGGAGTGCTGAGTGCCCAACTGCTCCGAGGTTCCTGCCACGCTACAGAGTCCCTCCTTCTTATTGATCGCTTTCTTGAAGGTCTTTGCCACCTCGGTGCTCTTCAGCCCGTGGACGACCTGAGGGAGGGCAAAATACCAAACAGTACGATCTGTACAAGTTCTAACAGCTCAAATCATCAACCCTTCAGTCTTTGCCAGTGAACGATGAACACATTAGGATAAACCCTGTACGCTCTGAGTGACCTGTGGCTTGTTAACTCACGTTAGCAAACTCGTCGAAGGTGAGCTGGTCGCTGGTCTTGGTCAGCTCCTGGACGATCTCCCGGACTCTGTAGCCCGGCAGTGCCAAGTTGGCGGCCCGGAAGAGCTCATTGAGCTCGGCTTTGCTGATAAATCCGTTGTTGTCCACATCTGGGAAAAGACGAAGGGATAAGTGGTCACAGACGTGGAACCGAATGCACTGTTATTGGTCATGTTGCACCTCCACACCTTCAATTTGCACTCTTTTGATAATCTGTATAAATGTAAATATCAATATATCCGCACCCTCAATATTCTTGTAAATAATATGACAGTTTTATGGTTCTTATTTAAATTTAACTTTAATTCTTCACTCCACAACATTGTTTTGCTTCTGCTTTGCACTATTGCAGTTATTTTTATTTTAAGTTACTTTTATTTAACTCTACATTTATTGTTGTTTTGTTGCACCGACCCACCAGAACAAATTCCTCGTATTGTGTAAACTGTACCTGGCAGTAAACCCATTTCTGATCCTGGTCACTTAAACACTATTGCCATACAGAAGCATATTGTGTATGTTCAATAAAGCTGGAGACGCACTCAGTATGCTTTTAGACTCCTGAACTGAGAATTGGACAGTTTTTACTCGAATGTCATGATCATTTTCACTCTTCAAGCGTTTGTAAAACAGAGAAAAAATAACTCTTGCTCATAATCCATAAACACAGAGATGGAAACAGGCGCGTTACTGACGCCGTTTTCTTTTCACACGAAAATATTTTTCATGTTATAACAGGAACACGTCTTATTTCCACGAGTTATTATAAAAAAAACAGAATTATTATCGTCATTGTGGAGTGACCCGCCCACTATTTTCTCCGCTACTTGATTCATCGTCGGCCCATAAGGCTTCAGGAAACAGTGAAGATCGTGTATCTCAGAAACCCAAAGAGATTTAGATCATGTTTAACCAAGCAGTAGTATTTTTGCAATATCTGTCATTTTTTGCATTTAATAAAACGACTAAAAACAGTTGCACATCGATTTACTGTCAGTAAACTCATGGATAAACCACTGCAGCTCTCATAAAAAGCAGTGATAAGGCATTAGAGCTGAATATGCAAATAAGGTCATTCAAGTAATAAATGTCATCATCATTTTATTACAAGAATAAAATGTTCATTCAAACCCAAGGGGAAGGTTAAACACGGGACTGTCTCTGAGGTTTGCTGAGTCCTTCTTTCTTCATGGAGAAAAAAGCAGTTGTTTGAACAATAAGGAATCAGAAACTGAGGTCAGCAATTATTTAGAAAAGTTCTTTGATTTCAGCAGCAGGCTCGAGGTCTTTAGCAGCTTTCTGTCCAGGTGAGCACCACCTGTTGCACCAGCAGTGTAACATGGTCCGCTCTGCATCAGAAACCCAGGAGGAAATGATGCTGCCACTCTTGGTTCTCTTACCAATCTTGGCGAAAGCTTCTCTAAGTTCCTCCAGCTCCTCCGGAGAGATCGGCGTGGCGGCCATGTTGGGAACCTGAATCAGCAGTAGAACCTGGAACTGACACAGAGCGAAAAACAACAGTGAAATAAAAAGTCAAAGCCTCTCAGTGGTACAGAAAAAAAGGAGGAACTTCAAAGATGGTATCATTGTGCTGTGATGCAAACTGCCCACAGCTCTTCCAGCCTACAGCTTCCTGGTTCTGCTGCAGTTCCTGTCTGACGGAGAAGTGCTGTTTTGTTTGTGTGTAATAAGATCTGAGCACCTACCGGTCCAAAAGGTAACCTGCACCTACTGACTGCTCGGTGGATGCAGAAGTGCTCTGTACTTAAAGGGAACATGCTGGTTTTGTTGGGGCTCTACTGGCATCTCTACATGATTCCAAGCTCAGAAAAACCTCCCTGTTTATCTTGTGCTCAGGTGGACAGAACTCTTCCTTTGAGCTACCTGCGTTATGACTGGAAGAACCAGCATCTAAATCAAGCTGTAGGGAGACTGAGGGAGATCTGCAATACGTACTTTGTATACGTTGGGTGTTCCACTGTTGTAGGGCATCGGGGGGTATTAGAGGGTCATTTGTAGTGCTAGGTCACTTCTTATCAAAAGAAACAGAACACCATACACCCTACACAATAATGTAGAAAACATAGGAATAGAGGAAAGTGGTGAGCACAAGTGGCGATTGGGATTGGCCCAAAAAGCCTCTGATGAACGATGGTTCTTCCTGAAGGCTCAGGAACTTCTGGAGTGACGGTTTCAGTGCTGAATGTCACAGATCGGTCGATGACTAGCATTTTCCAGATTTGCCATTTTTAAAACTCTGCAGCTGGAAACAACTTTGTTCGGTTCTTGTTCAGGATTGGGGCCGATAACGAGGAATTCTAACTGGTCGATATAAACCTGAGCATCTGCTGTCACGTGGAAATGTGAAAACATCAACCACAACAGAAATAAGGTTTATCACAGTTTATCGGAGCTTAACGTAGCACTTGATCACTGGCCTGAAGTCATTAAAGCCTCACTGAAGTCTCTATCGTTGTGCCCCTTTACTAAACAAACTCCTGCAGTGTTCTCTGTCTGCCAACTCAAAAGTGCCGCTTCTTTTCTTTTGTCGGTTAGCCTTAATGTGGACTTTTATGTTGTTGATGGCAATGTTTGAGAGAAGAAAGCTATAAGACATTGAAGAGAACCATGTGGTGTTTGTCATCCTCTCCGGCTGCAGTTTATGGTTTTTCACAAGTAGCCACTCTAAAATCAGTTCATTTTTCTTCTCTGAAAGCAGCTCTGAAGGTTCTACAGAGGTTCTCTTGTGGTCACAACATGTGGTTCATAGACTTCTGGCATCATAACAGGACATAAACAATAGAAAGACACAAAAAGCACTGATGTGTTGCTGTGACAGAGTCTTGCACCAGTTCACGGTTACGTGTGAAACTGGTGCAGAAATGGAACCGAGTGCAAGTTTTCCTGTTCAGTTATTTTTGTTTACTGCTTATTTGTTTGCTTTATCATCGTCAATACTGGAGATGCATGTTGGTTTTCCATTTAATTTTTATTGTCTGTGTTTAAAATGAAATGAAAAACTTTGGTGAGGCTCAGCAGAGGTTAGCAAATCACATGAGCCTCTGTGTTATGTAAAAATGTCTTCTTTCATTGTATTTTTAATCACACATTACACGTATTTCTATTTCTGAAACTAAATTTCGACAATTTTTCCTTTCAAGCAAAAAGAAAAAGCTGCAGATGGGGAAGTGTCGAGCGGTTCTGAGAAGTAGGCGATCACATGACGCGCAGGACATCTTTATTTCGGTCGCTGATGATTCACTCCGAGTGCTTTTGCAGATCCTTTTTTGGCAGTTGAATGTGAACGTGTAACTGCATGACGCCAAGGAGGAGGACGCGAAGTCTTAAACATGAAAAGGATGCTTGAAACCGCAAAGGGGCTTCTAGCTTTATAAACGTGTGATTCAACTTCCTGCTGGTGGAGGTGAAGCAACCCAAAGGTGACGGAAGACAAGAACAAACCTTGCAGCCAACCCTTCCATTATTCAGCGGTGGTGGTGTATTAGATGATACTACACTAGACTGAATGGTGTGGCTCATATTCTCTCACTCAAATGAGGTTACTGAGGTCGAAGCAGGTCCATTTAAATGGGTCAGAACTGAACCAAGTAAAACTCATCAAACGTTAATCCTTCCTCAGGTGGTTTCCAAACACTTGTAACCTACAGCACTCCTTTACTTTAACCAACTCAACTCCACCAACACCTTTCTGTAAAGCTGTAAGTGACAGGTGTCGCTGGGCTTCGGTTCTTCTGAATGGTTCAGGTTTGAGCATCTCAGACTGTCTTGAGATTTATTTACAACGACTGCAGCCCATCTGAAAACCTCAGTGGTCGAGAATCGTCTGTAAGACATCACGAGGGCCACGGAACTGCACCACGTAACTGGGTTTTTGATGCGGTGATTTCTAAATGTGAAGCTTATTTCATCTGTTTTGCAGAGTTTGAATGCATGTTGCCTCGTTTTATTGTATTGTGAAACCAAAAAAGCAAACAAGGTGAACATTTTGAGGCACGTTCCTGTCTCCTGTCTAATACTGTCGTTGAACTGCTCTCCTTCGCGACAGATGGGTTGAAAAATGTGGGCATTTCGCTGTAAATGAGAGCGCATGTTTGCATGCGAACGTGAAAATGCATTTAGATGTTATATATTTGTATTTGTAAGTTCAGCTTTTTGTACACACACAATCTGACTGAGACATTTTCACTGAACATAATCCAGGTGACTAATTTTAATAATTAGTAAATACTACTTTAGTCATATGCATTTGGTAATTCTAGCTAATAATATATAAACTATATTTTAAGGAGGCCCAGGAAACGCTGGCAGGCAGATTTATATCTGAGCTGAGATCTCATAGCTTTACACAAACACTATGATGAAATAATTCCATCTTTTCCTGAGTTATTTATTCAATCGTAGATAGTTTACATCAAGCTACCGTAATGTCTGGACTATAAGTCGCTACTTTTTTCACACGCTTTGAACACTGTGGCTTAAACAGTGACGTGACTAATTTATGGATTTTTACGAATTTGCCTCGAGACCAAAGTGACCTTGAGAGCGACAACGACAGAGAGACTGAGGAAGTGAAGTAATTCTGAGGCTGTTAAATTCTGACGACTTTAGTGGTTTTAGTGCAGGAGGAAGATGAAGATAGCGATCAAGGACTCTTCCTGGTAGGCTGCTGTAGTTTTATTATTTTAACCAGTCGTGTTACAGGAACTGTTCAGAAAAAAGCATTTACGTATTTGTGTATGTTACCGGTACGTATTAAATTAAAAGTTTAAAAATCTTTCTGTCTAAATATCTCATGTTAAACGTGGACACCTGCAGCTTATAGACAAGTGAGTGGGCGTGGCTTATAATCAGGTGCCTCAATAGTCTGGAATTTACGGTAGTTTTTCAGTGGTGTACATTTTGTGAAAATTTACAATAAATCAGATAATTTAGACCAAAATAATTTGGTGTAAACATGAGGTTTGTAGCTCCTGGTGGTGCGGGGCTCGTGAGTGGTAGCTGGTTAGTGATCCAACCTTTAGTAGAGCAAATTAATTAGTTGTTTTTTTTTTTTGGGTTGGGTGAAATCAAAACAGCCAATTATTCGTTTGTCAAAGACCGAGAGTTAAACCGACTTAGCTGTAAACTGAATTAAACAGAGCTGACATGCAGAGCTTTTAAACTCCAGGTGGCTCCGTGTGAAGGTTTAAAGAACAGAGAAACAATCGTCAGTATTAGGGAAGCTCAAGCGAACCACAAAGTTCACAAACCTCAACAACCTCAACTGTAAAAGCCTCCATCTGCAACTCAATGCAAACACTTTTCTGCTGCATCTCGTTATGTTGCTCTACTTAAGCGTCTGCAGCCGTTCCCACAGACGCAGTAACAAATGAATTCTGTCGTTAAGGAGAGGATGGAGGTGCTGCTTTACAAGAAGCTCCTTTTTTTTGGTTTTGAAGTAAAATGAACGTAAACTATTGACTGGAAAAGACAAATGGGTGTTTTTATTTTTGTTAGTTTTTCTAAACAAAGTTACGTATTCAACATTGTTGTTCTCATGGAAATCAGTAAATTCACCTTCACAGCTCCAAAAGTCGGTGAAAGAGAGAAGTTGGTTCCTGCAGCAGCTCGGAAGCAGAAATGAAACTCAGTTGAGCCGAACTGGAGGCCTGAACACTTTGAACGTTCGCTTCTCATCAGCTCTCTGTGAGCTAATTGTAGTCAGTGACTCAGCCTAACGTTTAGGTTGCAAGATGTGTCTTTCTGATAAACTACTGCTGCTCCACAACCACAAACTTCAGCACATTTTCTAGGTATATTTTCTAATATTTTTTGTGAGTGTCTATTTGCATGAATTTCCTCGATGTGAAGGGCTTGATACGATCTCATCAGGGTTGAAGACTCACAGTTTCTCGTGTGCTCGCCAAATTAAGTTAATGTAATTTAAGCACATTTAAATTCTGTTTTAATGGGAAAAGTATGAAAACTATCAATTAAAACCAGCAGGAATGAAAAATCCCAGAATCATTTAACCAGCGCAGGGATTTATTGACATGTGTGTCACAGATTTTATTAAATGTTGTCCCGTCTATTAACTGTAACACCTTTAAACATGCCCTGGATGTAGATTATGAGCAGAAAGATGGATCATAGAATAAATAACTAAATTATGTTCAAGTCCACGTATTTTTACAGACGTGTGGAACATCAGTACTGCACATTTTCAACCAGCTTTTTGCTATAATTCACACAAAACGTGTCACTTGCTGTTTATTTCTGACACGCTGAGCTCTTGCAGCTTCAGTCCACTCAGATCAGGATGTAAAAATAAAACGATCCACATCCAGACGGTTGTTTATGATAAGTATTCATGATTTACTTTAAACGTCTGCTTCACTACAAGTCAGACAGAAATGTGGAACTTTCTCCCCCCACCACCACCTTTATTCAACAGCTTTGGTTCCTATGAAGATTAGAAATGTCCGTTAATATAAATGTGTTCATTAACCACAGTGTTTCCAACCTTCCTTCACATGAAGTCCAGTTTTGTCTCCTCATCATGTTTCATTTCCGCCCTAAACTTCTTAGACAGCTTTATTTTTATGCCCTGCTTGGCTCAGAAATCTGTTTTGATTGATATTACTTCTCCTGAGTGTTCGAACTACGGTGGAGATGATATATGTGTCATGCTTATTACACAATCGACTGCAGGTGGCCATGATCTTTTTATGTAATCATACCCATTCTCGCAGCGGAATTAAATGAACATATGTAACACCCCAGTCAGTATTTTCACCGTTTTACATTTTTCTGCTATAATTTAAAGACATTAACTGTTTATCTTGAGGCACCTAACTTATAGTATTCACCCCAGTTGCACTTCAGTAAGCATCTACTGACATCAGTGCGATACGCTTGGTTGCAAAGCCACAGAAAATAACTTAAAGGAGGCAAATTTGTCTGAATTGCAGCAGAAAGACAGAGCTCTAAGGCATCTACATTTTTACGTAAGTACACGTTCGATGCTGATAATGCAGAATTTTAATACTGTGCTTATTATTATTTTACCTGAATAACGAATTACATACTAAAACTCCCAGTGAGTCCACCCAGTAGTGACACAAAATCAATTAACTAAGAAAATTAAGCACAATTGAAAGACTTTTGTTAACATTTGCTGCAACAAATTACACAATATAGGATACTTTATGACCCCTACACGGGCTGCCGGGCTGATTGAGCAATGCAGGCTTCACTGGTGACAAAGCATTCCACAGAATTGGCAGAAAATTAAGAAAAATGTGCATTTCTACCTAAGTGTGCAAAGATAAACAGCAGGAGGAAGTAATTCAAATCAAAGCTCAGATGTTTAAAAACACGAGGAGCATGATGCAAATACGACACCCGTGTTAACACGAGGGAAGTGACATTTACATGACATGCTTCATGGACATCGTCGTCATTTATTCATTTAGTTTTCTACCTGAAGAGGAAACGCAGGTTTTTAAAAAAAATATTTTCTGCTCCCAGTCTGGTTTTTTAATGCACAAATTCATATGCACAAGTTCATCCTTCTGCAATTCCACAACTCAAACGTCTATTATAAATAAAAATCCAGACTTTACTTCATCAAATGTGCATATGTAACGGCAGCCGTCACAAATGGAAGACTTGTGAAACATGCAGCCTCCGTGATAATATTTGCATGCGCGAAACCACTTCCACGAGCTTGAAATTCATGAACTGTGTCCACAACAGTTCCTCCTCATCCTCTACATCACAAAGTATTGATCACTAATCACACGCAGACTGTCCTGAGCCAACGCTGACGCCTCTGCCCACCCTCGCTGCCTCTGAGGGATTTTTTGCAGTTGAAGTGAAGCTAACCGCAAACTTCCTTTTCAGCTCAGTGCAGTGGTTTGACTTCTGCTTCCTTCTCCTCCTCGTCTACCCTGCAGGCCTCAGACCAACTTCTAACTGCTCTTATCTCTAGTTCATACATGACAGGGTTTTTAACGATTTGGGTCAAACGAGCACAAATCTCTATGGCGAAGGCTATGTTGTTGTTTTGTGAAGCATTTTGTGAGCAGAGCAGCTGCAGTGTTTGGAATCTGAAAATGTTCAATAATAAATGCAGCAACGTGGGACTAGAAAGACAGTCGCACACGACATCTACCTTCCCTTCCCTCGCTCTGTCACGCAGGCAAGAACTAAAACAGGCTCTTCTCAAAGCGCCTCTCGTCTCACAGCGATGCCTTCAGGAAGCACCAGCAGGGACCAGAGGTCACCTGATCAGAGGCTCCTTTACCTGAGAGGTGCAGCGAGGCGGCAGGTGATGTCTGGGCCTGGAGGGTTACTCGTTGTCCGTCCGTCTTTCTCTTCCCCAGCCGCTGGCTGCTGTGCTGCTCAACGCTCGACAGGCAGCGTATTGAGTCGGCACCGAGAGCAGGGCGACAGCGCATCTATTCAAATCTACGAGGAAGGAAGTGACATGCAACACTTCAGAAACAGGAATGAAATGCGTTTTGTCTTTATATGGCAATGCACGCTGGCGGCAGGTCGGAGGGATTTCATTGGCAGGTTTAACAGACAATTAAACAAGCTGGACTTTAAAATCAATCAGTTAAAACAAACAAGTGGTAGACGGGTAGACACAGAAGCTGCAGAGACACACAGGTAGCAAAAATAGCCAGCAGGTAGGTTGAAAAGCCAGAGATGGATAGAGATAGAGGGACGGTTGGTAAGACAGGGGGTGGTACTACGAAGCAAGTTTCCAGATTTTCTCTGTGCATAAAAACGTAAAGCCCCAGTCAGAGGTAACGGGTATCACTTGGTTACTCAGACTTTCTGAGGAGAGCTTTTAACACATCATGTGACTCTACTTCTGCACAAAACAGACCAATCATGTGTTGCTCCTTCGATAAAGATAAACGTGTTCTTAAAAGATATGAAGGACCTAAAAGTGCAGTTAATTCAACACACAAATGTTGGTAGAACTGTTACGCATTTAAGGGAATATATTTATTTTACTACTTCACACACTCAAAATGCAGCCACTTATTTCTAACGTGACAGCTGCACATCAGAGCCCTGAAACTTTCAACTTCATCTATTTGAATGTGATATTTTTAGAAGTGCATTTAGGTCTGACACTGTCCCATAATGAAAGTGATGTGGAAATCACATTAGTGACTGAATGTTCCCTGTGGTTAATACCAACAGACAGAACAATTTTCCATTCTGGGCTCTGTTAGCCGCAGCACCAGCAGCGTCACACTGGCAACAAATCCAAACGTAAAAACAAATCTATGTGTTTTTTGCATTACTAACTGAATCCATGTAGGTTTCCATAGCGATGCAATGCCTACAGCGTGCAATACTGTAACTGCACGGCTTTGCTCAGCAGTGTTACGAACACACAGCTCAACGGTTAGCAGATAAAACATATTCCTTCAGCTGAGAACCTGTACCGGCTGGTGAAAATAAGACGCTTCTTACGGCCGATTTTATCCCAAACAGGCTAGCTCTGCAGCATCTGTTGCCATGGTAACCAAGCAGGTTAAAACACCTTTGTGACACTGACTACTTTGGCTTTGAGCTCAACATACCTGCTTATCTCATTTGGCAGTACAGCCCTTTGGTTTTTCAACATGCTAATTAAAGATGGAGAAATGAATCAATGTTCAGGCTCAGCTGACTTTTTTTTTTTTTTATAAATCTCAAGACCTTTATGTTTTTAGAGGCTTTTGCTTGCTCCTAATGGTCTTAACATATGAGTATTTTATATTTATGTTACTTTAGAGATGGCTCCTACATGCTGTGACCCTGTTTTAACTGTCGTGCTATTTTATATTATTTTGCGTTACCAACTGATTGGACAAGTCTTATCCTGTCTTGCTGATTGTACAAAAGTATGTGACTGCATGTCGGATCAGTTGTACAGCGCTTTGGTCAGCTCAGGTTGTTTTTACACGTGCTATATGAGTAAACTTGATTCGATTTTGATGCATTTTAAGTCTTTGGGCCTTCGTTCAAGCAGCAGATCTACTTTACTGCTCACATTCGTTCATTCTGTATGAGTGTGTGCCAGTAATTCACCAAAGTCTGTGGATATGAACGTATCAGGGCAGAATTGTCTGTGTTTTTTGTTTCTTGTGTTATTGGACTGTATGGGTGACCTTTTTCCCCTCATCAGAACCTACATCTGGACTATTTACAGGGTTGGTTACCCAGATGAAAGAATATTAATAACTTATAAACATAGCTAGAACTCTCAACTGTCACAAGGGGCACCGTTACATGCGATTATAGCTGTAAACCATTACAAATAAGACTATTTCCACAACACACAGTTTGAGAACTGCTGGTTCTTCTTCTTATATTCATTTTACTGTGAAATAACGTGATAATAGTGCAATTACCAGGTTATAATATAAAGATTGCTGGACTGGACAAAGCCCCCACTGTTTAAAGATTCTGTCAGTGCCTCTTTATGTCAGTTTATTGGCATTCGATCGAAGGGGTCAAAGCCGAAAGCATGTAAAACATCCCCAGATCACATGGAAAACATAAAGACACACATTTTTGTCAATAAAATGAACCTGGCAGTATTATCTACTACTATGCAAAGGCCTTAAGGCATTGAAAGGTAAAATAGGGAAGCTTTAGCCCTCAAAAACAGAACGTAGCAAATAAATATGCATAGTTATTCATAAATATTGGGGAATATAAATTTAAATTTTACTCTGTGGCGAACTTTTTAACTGTGCGTTACATGAACTAATCCATAACAAAAGGTCTAAGCATTAGCTAGTTAGCTAGCTACATTACCATAATGAGACAAATTTGTAAAAACTGACTCTTACCAAGGTAAACTGCGTCAACTGCTGTTTTTTGTGTGTTTTTACTGGACTGTAACATGTAAAAACTTCGTAAAGTTTCTGTAGCGACTGTTGTTTTCGTGTGGCTCCGCATTTTCTTGCTAAACTATTAGCTTAATTCCTCCGGTTGCTAGCTTAGGAAGCTAACCAGCTAATTGATTCTTCAGCCAATCAGGAAGCGGGTGTGGAAAAGGTAAAGTGAGCCGATAGGTGGGATTTCTGTCCATGGCGACAAAGATGAAGCAGAAAGAGATGGTGAAGCCTTGGAAAAGCCGCTCTGTGCAAACAAACACGAAGTTTTAACGGGAGTTGACGGTTGCTATGGGGCCGTTGCTAAGGAGTCCGTTAAACCACGGAGCTCATCAGCAGCAGGTAGATGCTGTTTTTTCTTTCTTTCTTTACATTTTGTCAACCTGTTCCGATGAAAAGTATGCCGAATTAGCTATTAGTGGTTCCTTTTTGCGGTGTATGCATGGCTGTGCAGAAAGCTATGACTGGAATATTCTAATGCTAAAGGAAAGGTAAAAACTTGATTTTTGTCAGGCGAGTTCTGCAGCGTGTTTTCACTGTGATTTCTAAGTGGATTTATTAAGATTTGTTTTCGTGCCTGTCCTTATATTTACATGTTTTATATAATTGTTCAGCACTGATTTATTCGTATGCTGTAAATTACATTCAGAATATCCAAAAATATTGAAAGAAAAAATAAATTCATCTGGTTGCACATGCAGCATAAAGGCTTCCTTTAAGATGCATGGAAGTGATATGAATGAGTGATGCTCTGCAATCTAAGTCCAGCAGCCTGTGCTCCTACAGCTTCTGTCCTACTCAAACCCTGCTGCTCTTTCCTACAGATGCATCATGTCTTCTGACCACATGTGGCTGCTTCGGAGGCCTCTGCCATCCAAAACTTTCCCTGCGATGGTGCAAAATCTTCCAGCTCGCAGACCTTCAGGTAAAATAACATCGGATGAATGCAGATTGACCACAAACATGTATTTCTGATTTTAAAAACTCATGACACATTGTTTAAAATTAGATCAGTGGTTTAAATCATTCTGACATGTGACACGATGCAAAAAAACCCAAAACAAAACATGATCACAGGTGTCTATCGCAGTTCCAATAAGAGTCACTTCCCCTCTGAAGTCCTCACCATGCAAGATAAAATTAATATTTTAACTTTATCTTGTATTCAGCGCATATATTAACCTCACATCCAAATACAGCAAAGTTACAGCAGCATCTCTACAGATACTTTGCAAAAATATTAACAATCTGCTTTCTTTGATGGATCTGATGAGAATAACAGACTCATGCACCGATACATAAATATTAAATGTCATCACTTTATTAAAAAATTTGAGAAATAAGTTGCTTCTATTTGAAATAATGTCATGTGAGTCACCTTGTGCAGTTATTCACCAATCACACATTTCCTTTTATCATCCCAAGAGAAGTTAGGATTGATAAAGAATCTCATATATTTACTTCAGCTGCAACTTGAAAACCTACAAGTACTTCTCTGGGACAAATTTCCAACTTGGGAAGCCAGAAAGTCTCACAAACCCTCCTGGAAAATGTTGACGTTCAGCTGCTGTGGCCACGGCTGCAGAAAAGGAAAAACATTTGTAAGATACACATCATGCACAGTCTACGGAATGAGTCAACATTTTGCAGAGTGAAGCTATTCATGTGCTTTAATGTGTATAAAACACAGGGTTACAGCACAACAACAACAAAATGAAACGTGTCTGCCAAAGTTGAAACCAAACCTGCTGAATCATTTCAAATCAAGCTGCTCATTCAGTAGGGAGTGAATCATTTGAAGCCTCCTGGATGTCAGCGGTGACTCAGATACCTCCAGTATAAATCCAGCGACGGCACATGATCGTGATGTCAGGAGAGCAGTGGGAGTGAGGTTGGATTTTGGTAGAAAAGTGGTGGAGAAGCAACATTAAACTCTGTTGTAGTGATTGTTAAAGCTGCAGAAATGCTTTTCAAAATGCACTGCTGGAAGTGTCGATAAGGGGAAGTGCAGTGAGCAATAGCTGTGTCCCAACTCGCACAGATTCTGTTCCTCCTCCACAACTGAACTGTTTTGTTTTTTTTGGTGGAATCAGTGCCGTTAATCACGGTGTCTGCAGGATTTCTCCAAGTGGAATGAAGCCACCCTTGTTTCTCCTCCAAATGTCGCCATGAAAGAGGTTCATAAATGCCAGTTTGTGCTCTGTAAGAACTAAAAAGTTTGTTTGCATCCACCATTTATTTATTTATTTATTTATTTTTGCATGTTTTCAATTTGTGCATGAGACAAAAACCAGACAGAAGCATCAGATCTGTTTGGAGTGATGAGGAAACTGTGACCTTCCTCGTGTTCAGTAATGTTATACTTCCATAATCTGGTCTACGTTCCTTTTTCATTGTTTGACTGGAGAAAAAGCACCACCAGCTGTTTATCTGGAGGAACCAACTCATGTTAGTCTCATATGTAATAAGTGCACAGGAAGAAACATTCATTTGCATTTTGTTTTTGGACAGTTTTCTCAGAAATTGGTTAAAATGTGAGCTATGTTTAGATGGTTAATCAGCCAACATCAGATTATTCACGATAATCAGTTCCCCATCAGACATTACTCAGTAAAAAAAAAAAAAAAAAAAAAAAGCAAGTAAATGACTTTATTAATGACACATCAGCTCTGTCAGGTGCTTTAAACACTCCAAAACTTCTGCACGCGCACGCTGCGTCTTTAAGGATTTATGACTTATAGAGCAATATAATTGTAAAAGAAAACGGCCGATGTTTTTGTATTTGTCCCTGAGATTGAGCTTGAAATTACTGAAGTTATCCTCAACACCACCATGAAAACACATTTATTTTGTTTAAGCTACTTCAGTATTTATTTTTTAAATAATATTTCCTTTTAAAAAATGTATATATATATATATATATACATATAGTATTTTAGATTATATTAAGCTTACCACAAAGACCGCTGTTATTTTACCTGATTGTAATTCAGTTATGTTAACTGCATAATTTGTCCAAATGAAACTCTTATCAACCAAGTTAAATGATAGAAAGTGGTATTTTGGGTGGAATAAACCTTGAAAATTATAAATACTTTCACTTAAAGCAACATTTTTGTCTTTAATAAACCTTTAAATCCACAACATGTTAGAAAGTACTGCTTGACTGGATTAAACCTTAAAAAACATAATACTTGGACGTTAGGTAGTACTTTATGTGAAATTAAATCATAAGTAGCATCTGGGGTGGATTCCTCCTTCAAAACAATCATCCACTGCAGTAGGTGGCGCTGTTTCAAAACNACTGTCGTGCTATTTTATATTATTTTGCGTTACCAACTGATTGGACAAGTCTTATCCTGTCTTGCTGATTGTACAAAAGTATGTGACTGCATGTGGGATCAGTTGTACAGCGCTTTGGTCAGCTCAGGTTGTTTTTACACGTGCTATATGAGTAAACTTGATTCGATTTTGATGCATTTTAAGTCTTTGGGCCTTCGTTCAAGCAGCAGATCTACTGTACTGCTCACATTCGTGCATTCTGTATGAGTGTGTGCCAGTAATTCACCAAAGTCTGTGGATATGAACGTATCAGGGCAGAATTGTCTGTGTTTTTTGTTTCTTGTGTTATTGGACTGTATGGGTGACCTTTTTCCCCTCATCAGAACCTACATCTGGACTATTTACAGGGTTGGTTACCCAGATGAAAGAATATTAATAACTTATAAACATAGCTAGAACTCTCAACTGTCACAAGGGGCACCGTTACATGCGATTATAACTGTAAACCATTACAAATTAGACTAATTCCACTACACACAGTTTGAGAACTGCTGGTTCTTCTTCTTATATTCATTTTACTGTGAAATAACGTGATAATAGTGCAATTACCAGGTTATAATATAAAGATTGCTGGACTGGACAAAGCCCCCACTGTTTAAAGATTCTGTCAGTGCCTCTTTATGTCAGTTTATTGGCATTCGATCGAAGGGGTCAAAGCCGAAAGCATGTAAAACATCCCCAGATCACATGGAAAACATAAAGACACACATTTTTGTCAATAAAATGAACCTGGCAGTATTATCTACTACTATGCAAAGGCCTTAAGGCATTGAAAGGTAAAATAGGGAAGCTTTAGCCCTCAAAAACAGAACGTAGCAAATAAATATGCATAGTTATTCATAAATATTGGGGAATATAAATTTAAATTTTACTCTGTGGCGAACTTTTTAACTGTGCGTTACATGAACTAATCCATAACAAAAGGTCTAAGCATTAGCTAGTTAGCTAGCTACATTACCATAATGAGACAAATTTGTAAAAACTGACTCTTACCAAGGTAAACTGCGTCAACTGCTGTTTTTTGTGTGTTTTTACTGGACTGTAACATGTAAAAACTTCGTAAAGTTTCTGTAGCGACTGTTGTTTTCGTGTGGCTCCGCATTTTCTTGCTAAACTATTAGCTTAATTCCTCCGGTTGCTAGCTTAGGAAGCTAACCAGCTAATTGATTCTTCAGCCAATCAGGAAGCGGGTGTGGAAAAGGTAAAGTGAGCCGATAGGTGGGATTTCTGTCCATGGCGACAAAGATGAAGCAGAAAGAGATGGTGAAGCCTTGGAAAAGCCGCTCTGTGCAAACAAACACGAAGTTTTAACGGGAGTTGACGGTTGCTATGGGGCCGTTGCTAAGGAGTCCGTTAAACCACGGAGCTCATCAGCAGCAGGTAGATGCTGTTTTTTCTTTCTTTCTTTACATTTTGTCAACCTGTTCCGATGAAAAGTATGCCGAATTAGCTATTAGTGGTTCCTTTTTGCGGTGTATGCATGGCTGTGCAGAAAGCTATGACTGGAATATTCTAATGCTAAAGGAAAGGTAAAAACTTGATTTTTGTCAGGCGAGTTCTGCAGCGTGTTTTCACTGTGATTTCTAAGTGGATTTATTTAAGATTTGTTTTCGTGCCTGTCCTTATATTTACATGTTTTATATAATTGTTCAGCACTGATTTATTCGTATGCTGTAAATTACATTCAGAATATCCAAAAATATTGAAAGAAAAAATAAATTCATCTGGTTGCACATGCAGCATAAAGGCTTCCTTTAAGATGCATGGAAGTGATATGAATGAGTGATGCTCTGCAATCTAAGTCCAGCAGCCTGTGCTCCTACAGCTTCTGTCCTACTCAAACCCTGCTGCTCTTTCCTACAGATGCATCATGTCTTCTGACCACATGTGGCTGCTTCGGAGGCCTCTGCCATCCAAAACTTTCCCTGCGATGGTGCAAAATCTTCCAGCTCGCAGACCTTCAGGTAAAATAACATCGGATGAATGCAGATTGACCACAAACATGTATTTCTGATTTTAAAAACTCATGACACATTGTTTAAAATTAGATCAGTGGTTTAAATCATTCTGACATGTGACACGATGCAAAAAAACCCAAAACAAAACATGATCACAGGTGTCTATCGCAGTTCCAATAAGAGTCACTTCCCCTCTGAAGTTCTCACCATGCAAGATAAAATTAATATTTGAACTTTATCTTGAATTCAGCACATATATTAACCTCACATCCAAATACAGCAAAGTTACAGCAGCATCTCTACAGATACTTTGCAAAAATATTAACAATCTGCTTTCTTTGATGGATCTGATGAGAATAACAGACTCATGCACCGATACATAAATATTAAATGTCATCACTTTATTAAAAAATTTGAGAAATAAGTTGCTTCTATTTGAAATAATGTCATGTGAGTCACCTTGTGCAGTTATTCACCAATCACACATTTCCTTTTATCATCCCAAGAGAAGTTAGGATTGATAAAGAATCTCATATATTTACTTCAGCTGCAACTTGAAAACCTACAAGTACTTCTCTGGGACAAATTTCCAACTTGGGAAGCCAGAAAGTCTCACAAACCCTCCTGGAAAATGTTGACGTTCAGCTGCTGTGGCCACGGCTGCAGAAAAGGAAAAACATTTGTAAGATACACATCATGCACAGTCTACGGAATGAGTCAACATTTTGCAGAGTGAAGCTATTCATGTGCTTTAATGTGTATAAAACACAGGGTTACAGCACAACAACAACAAAATGAAACGTGTCTGCCAAAGTTGAAACCAAACCTGCTGAATCATTTCAAATCAAGCTGCTCATTCAGTAGGGAGTGAATCATTTGAAGCCTCCTGGATGTCAGCGGTGACTCAGATACCTCCAGTATAAATCCAGCGACGGCACATGATCGTGATGTCAGGAGAGCAGTGGGAGTGAGGTTGGATTTTGGTAGAAAAGTGGTGGAAAAGCAACATTAAACTCTGTTGTAGTGATTGTTAAAGCTGCAGAAATGCTTTTCAAAATGCACTGCTGGAAGTGTCGATAAGGGGAAGTGCAGTGAGCAATAGCTGTGTCCCAACTCGCACAGATTCTGTTCCTCCTCCACAACTGAACTGTTTTGTTTTTTTTGGTGGAATCAGTGCCGTTAATCACGGTGTCTGCAGGATTTCTCCAAGTGGAATGAAGCCACCCTTGTTTCTCCTCCAAATGTCGCCATGAAAGAGGTTCATAAATGCCAGTTTGTGCTCTGTAAGAACTAAAAAGTTTGTTTGCATCCACCATTTATTTATTTATTTATTTATTTTTGCATGTTTTCAATTTGTGCATGAGACAAAAACCAGACAGAAGCATCAGATCTGTTTGGAGTGATGAGGAAACTGTGACCTTCCTCGTGTTCAGTAATGTTATACTTCCATAATCTGGTCTACGTTCCTTTTTCATTGTTTGACTGGAGAAAAAGCACCACCAGCTGTTTATCTGGAGGAACCAGCTCATGTTATTCTCATATATAATAAGTGCACAGGAAGAAACATTCATTTGCATTTTGTTTTTGGACAGTTTTCTCAGAAATTGGTTCAAATGTGAGCTATGTTTAGATGGTTAATCAGCCAACATCAGATTATTCACGATAATCAGTTCCCCATCAGACATTACTCAGTAAAAAAAAAAAAAAAAAAAAAAAGCAAGTAAATGACTTTATTAATGACACATCAGCTCTGTCAGGTGCTTTAAACACTCCAAAACTTCTGCACGCGCACGCTGCGTCTTTAAGGATTTATGACTTATAGAGCAATATAATTGTAAAAGAAAACGGCCGATGTTTTTGTATTTGTCCCTGAGATTGAGCTTGAAATTACTGAAGTTATCCTCAACACCACCATGAAAACACATTTATTTTGTTTAGGCTACTTGAGTATTTATTTTTTAAATAATATTTCCTTTTTAAAAATGTATATATATATAGTATTTTAGATTATATAAAGCTTACCACAAAGACCGCTGATATTTTACCTGATTGTGATTCAGTTATGCTGACTGCACAATTTGTCCAAATGAAACTTATCAACCAAGTTAAATGATAGAAAGTGGTATTTTGGGAGGAATAAACCTTAAAAATTATAAATACTTGCACTTAAAGCAACATTTTTGTCTTTAATAAACCTTTAAATCCACAACATGTTAGAAAGTACTGCTTGACTGGATTAAACCTTAAAAAGTATAATACTTGGACGCTAGGTTGTACTTTGTGTGAAATCCTTCTTGAATAAACCTTTGAAATCATAAGTAGCATCTGGGGTGGATTCCTCCTTCAAAACAATCATCCACTGCAGTAGGTGGCGCTGTTTCAAAACGAAGAGGTCGAGAAAACGCGTGGCTCTCGAAGTGCGGTTATAAAAGTGCAGCCTCCGGTGCAGCAGATCCTTACTCCTGCTTTTGGTTATCAAGCAAGTAGTATCACATGTAAACTAACTTCAAACCTCCAGCCAGCAGGGGGCGCTGCAGAGAAGCTAATCATCTGCTGCAGTGTTGTTCTAATGCCGCCCCTGGGGACCTGCAAAAGTCTGGTGCTTTCTAAATTGCCCACAAAGGAGGATTTTAGGATGTCGTTCAATAAACACACGTGTCCTCATCCGCCCTCGTTCACCTCAGCAGGTGCAGCGGTTCCTCTGGATGCAGGTGATCCGGGTTTGACCAGATTCTGCCTCTAAAAACAGTCCGGTACCGAAAGCAGCTCCACCAACTCCTCTGCAGCCCCACACCTCCAGTCTGGACAGAGTCACAGAGGGCTTCCCCTGTAAACCCCCTCAAACTCCTTCCAAAAACCCCTGCTGGAACTGCTTCAGTCCGGTATTTCCCGTTCACCCTCATCAGACTCGTGTTTGAAGGTGAAGAACATGTTATCTGATTAAAAACCTGCAACTCTTCAAATCTCGCCTACAGCTGACTTATCTCAGACTGAACCAGTTTACATCTGAAAGTAAAGAATCTTTTTTTTTTTTAAACCTTTACTTTGGCAGATGTTCAGTTCCGAGCTCCACCACCTGCTTTCAGCCTCAATGACTTCGTTCAGAGCCCTACTGGTTCCCAGTTCAGCTCCCAGTAAACACCCACCAGCACCAGTAGATCCACATGTGTGGCCTTAACACTAATATTTTGGGTCTGCAGCAGAGGAGGCAGCAGGTTCAGAACCCTTTGTTTGTCATTAACTGTGTTGGGACAGCGCCACCTGTCACTAAAGTGCAAAATTTATGGCTTTAAGGTTTATTCCACCCAAAATACTACTTCCTGTCCAAGTACGTATAGTTTTAAAGGTTTACTTCACCTCAAAATACTACTTTCTAACAAATGAAATATGGTTTTAAAGATGTATTCCAACCAAAGTATTGCTTTCTAACACATGAAATAGGGCTTTAAAGGTTTATTCGACTCAAAATACTACTTTCTAACAAATGAAATATGGTTTTAAAGATGTATTCCAACCAAAGTATTGCTTTCTAACACATGAAATAGGGCTTTAAAGGTTTATTCGACTCAAAATACTACTTTCTAATGTGTGAACTATGGTTTTAAGGGTTTAGTCCATCCAAAATATGACCTTTTAACGAAGTAACTAAGGGTTTAAAGGTTTATTCAACCCAAAATACTGCTTTATAACAAATGGAATATGGTTTTAAAGGTGTGTTCCAACCAAAATACTACTTTCTGACAAATAAATAAGGTTTTAAATGTTTATTCCGCCCCCCAAAATACCTAATTACAAATCAATTACAGTTTTAACTAGGTTATACTATGTTATAACAATAGAATTTTTAGTTTAAAGGTTCATTCCACCAAAAATAAGACTTTACAATTAATTAATGGTGGTTTTAAAAGTTTATTCCAACAAAAATATTAATTTTGATCCATTCGTTTATAGTTTTATGAACTAAACTACAAAATTTCACCCAAATGAAACCTTCTAAAAAATGTTTTAAAGTTTTATTTCACCCTAAGCTGTACATAGTTTCCTTTTTTGGACAAAGCAAGTGTCACTGTGTAATCTGGCCTAAGAAAGACTTGATGAAAAGCATTGGACCCAGAAACATTGTCCTACAACTGCAGTCATAAAAATGTAGCAGCTTACAGATTTATTTTTATCTTCTATTTTCTCAGTACAGAGGGAAAAGAAACGAAATGATGTTTAGAGATTTGGATCTACCAAGATAGATATGAGTGAAAACAGAAGAATGCACAAACTGGTTTTGCACTTGAGGAATGAAAACAGATGCCACTGCTGAGCTTTTTGTACGTCAGCGATTCCAACTTAGATTTTCTTTCAGACGTGACAGCAGTGGAGCAGGTGGAGCTGTATGAAAGCTGCAGGGTCAGAGGCCAACGCCGTTTTCCACTGATCAGTACATCTTGTGCATCTTGTACATCGTGTGACACTGCATGCTTCACTGAACACTGAGCAGCAGCTTAAATTGAACAGCAGATGTTCATATTTACAGACTCTGCTGTCTGTGCTGCTGCATCTTAATCTTATGAGGATTGTGGGTTTTTTTTGTTTGTTTGTTGTTTGTTTGTTTGTTTTTAGAGACAAACAGTTTAACATAATTTTTTTTAGCAACTACATTTAATATTTTTTTATTTTGCTCTCCCAAAATATGTTTTTTTTTTTTTTTTTTTTTTTAAACGACTATAAAACTCCAGTTAAATATATTGTTAATATTAATAATGGTTAACTAAAAAAAAAAACACATACACTTTCTTTGTTTTGTTTTGGTTTAAAGGTTGAAACATACAAAATTGTTTGTTCATTTGGTACGTTTTTTTGTTTGTTTATTTTTTTGCCGTATTTATTTGCCTTGCATAATCCTTAAGTTAACACATGTTTAATAGATAATTTTGAAAAATTCTCCCTGTTATGGATTATGAGCATGTTTTTCCTAAATTATGAAATAATTCAAATTACAGGTGCAGAGACAAATAAGGACTTTGCATTAATTTATTTATTATTGTTGTTTTTCCCATGATATTTTAAACTTCTTATTTGTTATATTATATGATCGTAGGGTTTTACCCTAATATTTGAAATAGTTTGGTAAATTTGTGTTGTATATAATATTGAATTTCCCTTCTGGGATGAATAAAGTATTTTTCATTTCATATTGTAGGGTCTCAATTTTAGTATTTAAACTGGTCAGGTAAATCTGTATTTAAAATAAATATATAGGATCTTAACTGTAATATTTAAATAAGTCAGGAAAATGTCTATTCTAGGGTCCTGAAGTTAGAATTATAACTAGTTAAGTACATTTGTAAGTTGTATTTCTCTATTGAAAAGCTTTTTGGCTCATTTTCTGTTGATTAAAATGTGTTTTTATAAATAATGGTGATGACTTTTATTTTCTATGCTTGACAATAATATTATACTACTGATTGCAAATAAAAAGCGACAACATTTAAAAATATATATCTCCAAAATGTTCTGATTTTTTATTTCCTGTTGACGTGTTGCGTCCCTCCCGTCTGTTGTTGCATCAAACCACCAAACAAGAGTCATGTGTCGATGACGTGGAGGTAAACAAACGCTGAACCAATCAGAGAGCGGCATCTGGGTCAGCTGACCGGAGGCGTTGCCAGGAGTCGTGTTGTCAAAATGGCAGAACACGAACACCATCACCACCACTTCTCTCTGTGTTTCTGCGATTTAATGAGGTAAGAATTGATTACAGCTGCTTGTTTTTAACTCTAGAGTGATGAAATCTTCTGAAAACGAAAGTGTCGCACTGGTGTTAGTCCTAGTTATGAACAGAGCGCTAACTTTAGCCGAACTAGCAGCTAGCTGGCTAACCTCAAAGTGTAAATAAAGGCAGTAACAGGCAGTCGGTCGCCTCTCAAATTGCGTTTACCGTCTTTAGTGTCCTCTCCTTCTGCCTCCTCAGTCCTCTGTGTCGCCCTCCTCAGGTTGCTGTGGTCCCTGGTGGTGCCCTGCGCCTACCTCAGCCTGCTCCTCACCCTCGTCCTGCTGCTGCTCCTCCTGGGGCTCCGAGTGTGGCTGCACGGCCGCCGCAAGGCCCGCCGGGCTCAGGACGGCGGCCCGGCGGTGGCTTTCTTCCACCCGTACTGCAACGCTGGAGGAGGCGGGGAGCGGGTCCTGTGGTGCTCCCTGAGGGCCCTCATGCACCGGTAACACTAGAATTCATGCTCTGACAATGTCTAATGAGGAAGAAGTTCATCAAAACAGGTGGAGGAGTAACTAAAACCTCCCACATATTCTGCCTGCACTGTGCACCACAATTTGGGAAAATTTCAGTCTGATATGTGTGTCAGCAGTGTGGAGGTGAGACAGGAGCCGGACACGGATTCTCTCCCGGTTCTTTTTTCATTATTTACTCAGCGATTTGTGTTGGAGTTCACATGAGCAAACAAGCTCAGCCCCTTCCACACCTGCACTCTGCTCACTTTTCTGTTAAAATCATGATGGAAATCCTATTTTTTCAGGTTTAGTAACATTTCCATTTTGATTATAATGCATTTTGTGTCAGGTGAAGCGATCTGTTTGCTACATTTCAGCACCAATATTGGTCCAAAAACATCACAAAGAGCGCCCAAATCACTACACACCATCCTCACTCACTTTAACCGACAATTTCACATCTATTACAAACTGAAATGTCCAAAAAAGGAAATTTCACCATGATGAAAACAGGGTATGTGGGTCACATTTACCAATAATGAATGTAATACAGGTTTTGATTAACGGATGATGAAGTTTAGTTTGTTGCTTCCAGTTGTTTAGGAGTCTTTCCTCTGAGTTTATTAAACACCAGCAGCATCACACAGCAGCAGGATCCATATGAGCGTCTCCACAGAGAGAGCTGTGTGCGTTTCTGAACAATTAAAGTATAATTATAAATTACCCCCGACAGGTGAGTTGTCATACAGAGTCACGGTTTGTAAGCTGCAGTTAAATCATTTGGAGTATAGTGGATTTAGATGTAGTTTATTAGTGCATTGTTATGTGTTGTGTCCAATCTGGCACATATCACAAAAATCAGATGTATGCTGTGACTCTTTTGTGAAAGAGTTGAAAAGAAACTGAAAAGAGATTAAAATCCAAGTTGTCTCCTCACACGGTCAGACAACATGGCACAACCCAACTTCTACATACACCAAGTTAGCTTAGGTGAAAAATAATAAACTTAGACATTCATTTTGTTTGTTGACAAGTGAATTCTACTGGACACCTTTAACTGAAAAGATGATCTAAACCGTTATTAAATCATTCAAACTGACAATAAGGTTTTACCTCCTTTCCCCAGATACCCCGGCGTCTCCTTTGTGGTTTATACCGGTGACCAGGGAGTCACCGGCGAACAGATTGTGGAAGGAGCCCGGCAGCGTTTCAACATCACGCTGCCTCGACCCGTCACCTTCGTCTTCCTGCGTCACCGAGTCCTGGTGGAGGCCAGTTCTTACCCTCACTTCACCCTGCTGGGCCAGAGCGCCGGCTCCATGTTCCTCGGTAAGAGCTAGCCAGAGAGGAAAGAGTAAATAATTTTTTGAACAGATTTAGTTTTTATGATGACACTCCTGTTATTCCATACTGTAAAGCCTGAACCATGAAATATTTGCAAGAAAATTCAAAAATTTTGAAACTGGAGTAATTTTTGAACCTTCTGACAAATATGAAATTAAATAAAGAAATATCAGTTTGCATATATGAGCTTTGATTTGTGTAATTTTGTGCTACATCTGACATTTTTGGTGTATATACATCTATTATTTTATGTGCCATAGATGGGCGTAGATTGTGTGTTGCTTCACGGTGACGCTGTGTGCGTTTTTCAGGGTGGGAGGCGCTGACGGCCTTTGTTCCCGACCTGTACGTGGACTCGATGGGCTACGCCTTCACCCTGCCGATCTTCCGCTACCTGGGAGGCTGCAAGGTGGCGAGTTACGTTCACTATCCCACCGTCAGCACCGACATGCTGTCTGTGGTCAGAGAAAGGAACCCGAGGTAAGAACGCAAACATTTCCCGGGTTTCTCACCTCCACAAGCAGGCTACTGTATGTGGACACTTCAGTAATGAGATAATTTTTGTAGTAATGGACATTAATTTATTTCTAAGTCTAGATAGATAGATAGATAGATAGATAGATTATTCATCCCCTTGCGCAATGTCAAGAATGTCTCTCATGCAGTGACTGCAAAAACTGAGCTGAACTAACCGTTACCACAAACCAGGAAAATCAGATTGTCTCACAGTGGCTAATGCTATGCTAACAGCTAGCGGCTTTGTTAGAAGGCAGCCACAGATTACCCTGAAACACTGTCGGGGAAAAACAATTGACAATAGAAGTGATAGAACAGTGAAAGATTAAGAAAACAGAAGAAGTCGAGTTATGAATGACATGTTCTCTGCTGTCACATGCTGTTAAAATACTACATTTAATGTGTATCAGTTCCACATATTGGTTATTGGTCTTTCTTGATGACCAATAATTGGCATCAGCCATTAAAAAACAACAACAACAACAACAAAAAAACCTATCTGTTGATCCCTACCACATCGACATGCTTTGTATTGGGACAAACTGAATCTGTTTCTGGCGTACTGTATAGAACAGTGGTATGGATTAGAGCAGACGTACTCACCAACCTTCCTCCTCTTTTGATTCCAGATTCAACAACGCCGACTTCATCTCCAGAAACCCCGTGCTGAGCGCCGTGAAGGTGGTGTACTACTGCTGCTTCGCCCTGCTGTACGGCCTGGCCGGCTCCTGCAGCGACGTCATCATGGTGAACTCCACCTGGACGCTGGGACACATCCTGGCCTTGTGGCGCTCGCCGAGCCGCACCAGCGTCGTCTACCCGCCCTGCGACGTCCGGGCCTTCCTGGACGTCCCGCTGGAGGAGGAGGACGACGACGACCTGGAGGAGGGCTGGGAGGAGCTGGGGCGGGAGCTGGGGAGCGGCGAGGAGGACGAGAGCGGAGGCGGAGACAGGAAGTGCCACTCCATCGTGTCGGTGGGCCAGTTCAGGCCGGAGAAGGACCACCAACTGCAGATTAGGGCGTTTCGCAAACTGCTGGACAGGAAAGGCGACGGGCCCGGCGGGAGGGAGTCTCTGCGGCTGGTGCTGATCGGAGGATGCAGGAACCAGGAGGACGAGGATCGGGTCCTGATGCTGCGGGGACTCTGTCAGGAGCTGGGCGTCGCCGACCGCGTCGACTTCAAGCTCAACATCCCCTTTGAGGAGCTGAAGAGAGAGCTGGTGGACGCCACCATCGGGCTGCACACCATGTGGAACGAACACTTTGGCATCGGTGAGGACAACATGCCGAGAACAACACACGACATCTACATCTGTATTTGTGAAACCTACACATGCACATATTTTATTACTCAGTTAATCCAAGATGCCTTAACAAAAAAAATCCATCATAACACTAAAAAACAAATATAAAGAAGATTTGATAAATAACAGGTTATTCCATCTCAGGTCATCAAATTTTTAGAGCAATTTCTGCTCAAACATCTCTGATTTGAATGAAATTTTTATAGTAGAAACCATTTATACAGTTATTTGTGCAATTCTGGCTTGAAATGTCAAATACTATCTGGGATAAAAATGTATGAAAGTTGCCCTTTGACCCACTTTCAGCATGTTTTTTTTGCACATTGAAATTTGAGGTTACGTTTGGCTGTAGAATCTCAGGACTACTAAAGATTTTTTTTTTTTTAAACCTTGCAGGTTCTGAATCAATGACATCATGAAAAATAACTGTGAAAATGTCAGGCTTTTATCTTTAATAGTTCCTGAGATATTGTTGTTCAAAGTAGCCTCAAAGTTCAATGTGTGAAAAAAAAACTATCTCGCACATGTTTCATATCAATCTAAACTTTCACAGAGTAATTTGTGAAGGAAAAAGGTCAATTTCTCAGATTCTAGATTGTTAAATTTGAATATTTTCTGCTTTCTTTCCTCCTCTATGACTGAATATAAACTGAATATCTTCAGGACAAAACAAGACATTTTGCATCATTTTCTGATGTTTTATAGACCAAAAAGTAAATGTATTAATCAAGAAAAGAATCCACAGATTAATTGAAGGTAGTTATTACAGATGAGGTTTATGAAACCTGAGCCAACTCTCACCACGTAGAGCCAAACTGGACAGATGTGCTAAAAAAGCCTCCGTCCGTCAGCTGGTCTGGACGTTAACCCTCCGTCTTTCTGCAGGTGTGGTGGAGTGTATGGCGGCAGGAACCATCGTTCTGGCCCACAAGTCCGGAGGTCCAAAGCTGGACATCGTGGTGCCGCACGAGGGCAGACAGACGGGCTTCCTGGCCGACAGCGAGGACAGCTACGCCGCCGCCATGGAGTCCATCCTGGCGCTGTCGCCGTCGGCCCGACTGGAGATCCGACGCAGCGCCCGCGACTCCGTCAATCGCTTCTCCGACCAGGAGTTCCAGGCTTGTTTTCTGGCCGCCACCGAGTCTCTGATGAGCAAACTGGAGCGATGAGGAAGAGCAGACGTGGCCTGGTGTCCGTCGGCGACCGGGACGTTGTTTGTCTCGTTTTGTTTTATTTTTTTAAATAGCGCGACACAAATGAAGCAGCGAGACCCATATTTACAGTTAAAGCAGCCAAAGCTTACAGTTACACTGTGGCTCATTCCCAATCCTAAATAATACAAGTCGATGATATAAAGACAGACTCCTGATGGACGTCCAGAGATAGAATAGAAAGAAAAAACAAACAACCCAACAAATCCAGGACTTTCCCAGTGACTGTGCATGTGTCAAACTCATGTGTAAAAGTTGGAAGTGTGACGACGGACATGTTCTGCTGGCAAAGCTAAACAATAACCTCCCTCCTTAAGCAGATGCCTTTCCAGCCTAATTTTAAAATCACATTGTGTTCACAATTAAACTGGTTGACATAAAACAGACCTCAAAGTTCCGTAAATTTACCATTTAATCCCATTTTTCCCAGCAGGAAGTTAGGAGTTAAAATATCTGTTGGGTAATGTCAGATGACAATATTGATTTCATATCTGTGATATTTGGTCCAGAAACACTTTCGTGGAAAGAAAAACGTGTTCCATCTGTTCCTAATATGTCTGATTCATGTGTTGTGTCTTTTCTGCAATCAGCAGCCAAATAAAATAGTGCAAATTTAACTAAAATTTTAGAAAATTGTCAAGTGAAAATGTGAATTGATGCACATTTCCATCTGCTTCTGTTGTGTGAATACAAGTTAATTGGTTGATGGAGCTAAATCTCTAGTTTGGAGGTCAAAAGAGCTCCAGTTAAAGTTCAAACAACTGAAAAAAAAAAATCTGAAAACGTAATGGAAATGTGGCATTTCTGTTAGTTTGATAAGTTAAAATGAGACTCTCTTCATCACGTCATACAGATCTGATGGTTCTGGGTGATGTTCAAATCACGTTTCATGCATGTCATCATTCCGTCACTGCTTTAAATTGGTTTTTATTCAGATGACAAGCGGTACAACTTATTTTGTGGTTTACTTCCTGTTTCTACACGTCTAAAAACACACTATACATAGAAATCAGACAGCTTTGGAATATTTTCCTCTTTTGATGGAGGCTGTTTGTGCTAAGCTAAGAGCTGAAACTGATTTTGAGCTTCTTGCCGGAGAAGAAGACGGATGCACATATTTCCCTAAATGTGTTCCTTTAAGGCAGTTAAATATATGAAGAGGAAATATTTCTTGAAGAGCTACATTCCAAGCTGCAAAATATTTGCCAGCAAAAGAAGTGATTTACGTCGCGTTGATACTGACATGACTTTGATTATACTTGTGTTTTTCCAACGGTGTCAATTTACTGACTGAATCCTAAATAGACATGAAGGGGTTTGAATTGTGATTTTTTTTTTTTTTTCCCGACTAAGGAAGTTCGTTAAGTGAAGACTTTTAATTTAATGCTTTCTGTGTACACAAGAAGTATTTAAAAGCACAGCGTGTTTGGGTTGAGGTGACGGCCAAATCTGTTTTCTTTAAATGTTGTTTCACCTTCTGCATTCCTGTTTGTGATGAGGTCCAGGCATGGAAACATGACTATATGTAATAAAGTATTAAAGTAAATTACTTTTATTTTGAAAGAGGCATTAGTTCTATTTAAGTCTGTCCGTGTATAGAGGATGTTTGGAGTTTGTTTCACTGAGAAACTCAAGTTACACTTAAACAATACTGCAATAAATGCAATCATCAAACACTTGAGGTTGTTTGTTTGTTTTGTGTTGCTAATCTGAAGGGAACAGAAACCTGCGCTGAAGCTGATGTTGAAGGACGAATCCCAGGAAAAACCAAAAGCAGCAATAAATCCTGGTAACACATGTAGCCAGATATATGTTTGACCTTAATACTTGGGTGAATCCGCCACTGAAAATAGTCCCCCTGTTTAAACGTTTGATGAAGCTACAGTGTGCGGCTGTGTAAGGGAATTACTGAGCCTTAAAAATAATAAGAAATATATGTGTGAAGTGTTTTTTATCTCTTCAGGATGAATGAATGAAATGAAAAATACTTTATTCATCCCAGAAGGGAAATTCAATTCGAACCAGTTGGGTTTGAAACTGAGACAGATTAGGAAAGTCCGAATTTATTAAGAGACAGACTTGTTGGTTTTGGTCTTTCCATGAGATTTGTTGACGATAAATTAAATATATAGAATAGCAGCAGACACACACCACCAGCAGCAGCTGTGAGCTCAACACTGACTGTTCCTTCACAACAAAACAAACTTTCACACACTTCAAGCAGCGGCTGGTTTGCTGTGTGAAGGCGAGGAAACAGTTTGAACTTCTGTATTTGTGCAACGGCATGACAACAACGTCTGGGAGTTCATCTTAATGACTTATCTTTTTCTTTTATCCTCTAAACCCTCATCTTGTCATTTAACCCTTTGCAAGAAGTTGTTCGAAGCACATTGACCCCATAAACCAGCTCGTGGGACGGTGACAGTTGCTGGATAAAGGGACCTTGTGGAGTTTTCTTGAAAACAAAAGTCTTTCCTAGACTAAGACTGATAAATTTGTCGAGCTACAGCGGATGCATCTTTGCATATGTAGGCTGAGGAGTAACTAGAAATGCCAATACACAAATGCAGAAATGTAGAAGTTGTAGAGTGTCTCCACCAGAGGGCGCTGACAGCTTATTTCTTTTATTTTTTAATCCTGCATTTGTTATTTCATTGCTACATTTTCTGTAAACACTACGTGCAGCTGTTGATGTGAGTTCATGTCAGCAGGCGTCTCCGTCACATCACCAGCATCTTGGTGCATACTTCAAGCTAAAAACTACGAACACATTCTTTCTCAGCTCCTCAGGGGATACCTTTAAGTTAGGGTTAGGGAGTTTTCGGTTTCTTCACTGAAATTTGTTAACATCCAATTTAACTTTTTTAACTTATTTGCTGTATTAGACTTGAAAGAGGAAGTGGAGCTACATCCCTGTTGCTGCCGTCTTATTGTCCCTCAGAATTAAAGATTTACAGTTTTTCCTCACTCAGGTGGTCTGATGCTGCTGATTTAAACCTGCGTCATCGTCTGTCTGGGACTCGCCTGGACACTCGGGCTCAGAGGAAACCCCTTCAACTGGTGCTGCTGCTGCTGCTGCTGAATCCTCCAGCTCCGGTTGGATTTGTCGAGGATCTGCAGAGCTCAGTGGCCCTCCATCCTCCTCCTTCACCTCCTCCTCCTCCTCTGTCCCATCAGCCGTCGCCTCCGTCACGTTGTCATCCGAGCTTTCGTCCTCCATCACAAACAGGTTCCTCATGGAGTCGGCCACCGCCTCCCGCAGCTCGTCCTCCGACTCCTCAAAGTTCCTGGCGAGGAACGTTCGACATAGTATTTCTCACTGAAGAAGGACTTATTGGACATTCGAGACAGGGAGATATTTTATGCATCCCTTTGGGGAAATTTAAGGTATCCAGCAGCTCACATGTGTTACATTTAAGAAAAATAAGGAAAACAACGTTCAAAAAGACGTGCAAATCTGTTGGTAGAAGAAATGAGGTGCAAAATGATGCTGGTTCTAAACATATGTTTACATACTGGTTTGATATTCATTAATATAATTAACTAATATGCAGAGATGTGCTGGAACACTGATGCCGATTTGTAAAAATCAAAAAGACTGATAACTAATATTTTGAATATACCTTAAATGTGGTATTTTATGTGATAGCAGGTTGTAAGGCTACAATACAGATTGTGACCCCATAAGTCTGGACTTTCTGGACTTTCAAAGATTTTCTTAAACTTCTATTTTGTTCCATATATTCACACTACTGACCAAAAATACTGACATGCATCCTCCTTCAACGTCGTAAAGTCCCTTTGACGTTATGATGACTTATTCTAGTCAACATTTATTATATATTTTCAAGTTATATGTTATTAACGATGAGTTTTACACATAATTGGTCCAAAATTTGAGTTTCATGGACTTTTATCACGTCTCTACAGTATAATGTAACGGTAAAGGGATTCCTGTCATTTAAAAACACAGTGTGGCTGTGCAAAAGTAAATAAGAATTACATAAGAAAGGAAAGCAAAAAGGAGGAAACTCACGTGTCGTCGTCGTCCGACCTCGGCTCCAGACGCTCTTCATCCATCTCCACGTCTGAGTCGTCCTCTTCTTCCTCTTCTTCCTCTTCTTCCTCTTCTTCTTCCTCTGTTTTGTCCTTCTCTGGCTCTGAATCTGAGATTAAAGACATTTTTAGTACGAGCTCTGCTTTGGCCTTTTCCAGTCTATTAAACCACATTGTTCACTTTTCGTGTTTTGCATTAAAACAATTGGATGCAGCAGATTTAACACCGTAGTGACTGAAGTTAAAAAGAAGCCTCGAGTTTAGAATTTGGGTTTTGCCATCTTCTTTTTTTTTTGTTTGTTTGTTTGTTTTCATAGAAGTGCTGGATCTGACTGAGAGCTTGAGTAAACTGAGCACATGCATTCAGTAGCAATTAGCACAAGGTAACATAGCGGTCTTACTTTGAAATTAAGAGTCAAATCCCACAAAGGATTCACACAAACTCTGTCTGTTTGGGAAATAAGTAAGCACAAAGTCACACAAATGAAACAAAAGCAATTTTTCCAAGTTATGACAAAGACAATAACATAAAAACTCTTCATGTTTTTCCATGTTTTCCTGATTAATCCTGCATTACAGTTCAGTCGATCCAACTCAAACACTCCATTTTGGGGTTTCCTGGTGATCTCACACATAACTCGAACCCAGAACGTTTCTTACGGTACTGTTCACTTACTCCGAAAAGAAATAAAGTTCACACCCACAACCCAGACATTCGTTTAACTAAGCAAATTAAAAGCACTTGAAGCTCACTGGTCAATGACAGAGGTGGTGACAGAACGTGGAACGAGATGCTTTAGCAGGGCATTGTGACGACAAACGACAAGAACTCAGAATTTTTTTAAAAACATTGTAATAACCACAGTAGCCACGTCTTAAAACGAGCCCTGCTTCATCGTCTAATTTACTCTGAATGGGGCCATAATTTACTAAATGAACACCACGCTGTACTGTAGGAGACTTGAAACTAGCCATTAAGGCCATAAATTCATCAGGAAAATGTTTACTGAAGCAACAAATCTAGAGAGAAGAAGGTTCATTTTCTCTTGGCTTCTACACAATCTGACTTCTTTTCGCCCCCTGCTGGCTTTTTGAGATATTGCAGGTTAAAGGCACTTTGTATTGGCTGTGTCCATGTTTTACAGACAGTCTGTGGTTCACTGTGGGTCACTCAGGTGTGTGATGTCTCACCTGTGGTTGCTGAGTCCAGACTCGACGATTTGAGTTCAGCCTGAGCCAGAAGGTTCAGCAGAGTGTTTGGAGGTCCGTCGACCCACTGACGCCGAACTGCCGCCTCCTCGCCTGGAGGGAGGTGAGGACATACAGCACCAAACAAACCAGTTTCTTAACCTTGTCGTGACTGATTTAAAAACTGATGTTGTTTCGTCACGGAAGCTGTAGCTACTTTTCCCAAACTTAACTTAAAATTATTTGCATCTGAGCAACTATTAAAATGTGTGCTTATGTCTCTGCTCAGTTGTTTTTTTTTGCACCTTCTTCCGCCTCGACTGCAGTGTTGTAGACGGAGTTGACGTCCATGTTGGCGAGAGCATCCAGCAGAGTCTGAGGAGTCCTGTGGCTCCACCCCCTCCTCGCCTCCAGCCAATCCCGGAGCTTCAACTCCTCCCCTTCCTGGAAGCTCAGCGTCTGATTCAGAGGGTCCACTTCCTGTTCAGGGAGTCGGGGGGCAAAGTTAGAGGAAGAAGAGAAGAGAAAAGACAAAGAGAAGAAGAAGAAGAGAGAATAAACTGATAACTTTCTTCTTTTTCTCTCACCTTGTCCTCTTCTTTGTCCTCTTGTGGGTTTTCTTTCGTCTCTTCGTCATCTAAGCGGATCTCAAACATGATTCCTTTCTGCAGACGTGACAAAAAAAATATGAAAAGATGAAGTTCGTCCACGTAGACGATCAAATTTCTAAGTTTGTTCCTTCGATGCAGTTTTCTTTTCTTAAAAAAGGTGCTACATGCAGGAATACAGACACATTCAGACTGAATGCTACAAACAACAACAACTTAAAGGTAATTATGACATTGTGTTAACGAAGATTTGGTGTCATCAGAGAAGCTTAAAATGTTTCTTCTGTCCTGAGACAAAAAAAAAGTAAAGCTGCTGATGAATCCATATATTTAAATATCGACATGGTTTGAGTGTAGACAGAAAATTAAAATTATCAGACTCAAAGCCTTAAAGCTTGATTTTTAGTCGGTCTAATCTCACCTTGTCTTTATGTTTTCTCTTCAGCGTCCTCTGATCGCTGATCTGCTTCAGAGCTGCTTCAACGTCCTGCGGGAGAAAAATCATGATCCATCACTGCTCCTCTGTAGAATAAATACTGTTTAAGCATGTACATCATGGTGTTGCTCTTTTGTGGTTCTGTTTATAATAGTGCAGCAGAGACACGTACACTATCAAGACTGATTTTTTTATTTTTTATTTTTTTTAATTGTTGAATATTCATTGAGTTGACCCTGTGTGAAATCTGGTTTCATAACATTAGTTTTTGAGGTAAAAATTCGTAAAGAAGGTGGGTCATGTTGACTTTTTCATCGTTGTCTTCTTGCTAATCAGTGGATTAATGTTTGAAGTGCTATAACTGGAGAAATAATGCAGCTGGAGTCCTGAAATCTTGCAGGTTCACTGATATGAACATGTGGTCTTTAATGGTGCAACCCTGCTTTGATAGAATAAAACAAACCAGTTATATGACGGTGCAAATATGGTCAAAAAATGTCAATATTTCTGTCTACTCTGGTATTCCACCAACCATAAAACCTGTATTTTTCCCTTTAGGGGGCTGATTTTTCCCTGAAATTGGCACCAATAAGAACTTCAAAATGTAGAGTATGGAGCCAGTCAGAGGGATACTTTATGAGGAAAAAAATATATATATGTTTTTTGCGTTTATGGACAATATTCAAACATGCACTGAGCAGGAATGACTCCACCCAAATAATGTCCCAACTGGAAGAGTTATATAATATTGTTGCTGGGTTAAAAGAAAAAAATTTCCAACTCATGGTGCTTCAAATAATTTTATGAAAAGTGGTGCCTTAAGCCATTTTGACTCTTCATTTTGGCACTTCAAACACTGATCACAGACTGGTGTAAAGAAAACGATGCAAGAACAACTTTTAACTGAAAATTAATGTTACCTATGAAACCAGATGTTTTATTTAATAACATAAATACGCAGAGAAAAAAAAATCTAACAAATAAAAGATGGTCAGATGGGAATTTTTTAAAATATATGATGAATTGAGGTGAAAACATCTGTACAACTAAGACAACGGGCCGACTGATGTGGGTTTAGTCGGGGTCACTCTGTGAGAAGTTTGCAAGGTAACACAGCAGAAACATGAAACAAATGAGCCTGCACTGTAACTCCATTTATAGAAAACACATTTTCTTACATCTATAATCGAGAGTAAAAATTAAATGATTAGTAAAAGCATTTTTTTTGTTTGTTTTTGGTAATGCTGCACTATAAAGTCATTCCAAGCAACTTAATTGCCTTTTTTAAGTCCCAAACATCTTCCTTGTTTGTGGAACCTGAATGTATCTCACCAATGTGTGCCCTGACTTTATGTTTGCACCAGTGACTAACTTCATTATGAACACAATGAGGGTGTTGTCAGTGTTTACCTGTGCAGGTGCTGCTTCCTGCTGCTCTCTACTTTCTGGCTCCGGGTTGCTGAGTTTCTCCACCACAAACGTCCCGTGTTTCTGTTGAGGCTGAACCTGACGCATGACGGACTAAAAATACATGAACATGTTACTTTAATGAGCAGGAGTTGCTGTTATTATCTATTCTGACAGGCGATGAAGTGGGTTTCAACCTCTGGAAAAGAAAAAGTCAGAGTCAAAGGGGGAAAATGGAATAAAGTGGAGTCCACCAGGGTTCACTTCTTGTCACATCATGTGCAGACAAGCTGTTAAATGCTATTATTGTGCAAATGATAAACAGTTAAACAACAACAAAACCTCATGTCTGGTTAAATGTTTATCAGATATGAAACCTGACAAGCTGCACGCTTACACAATGTACGCTGCACTTTAGTTTAGGTTTTATGATATTGTGACTATTTTCAACTTTTAAAAAGGTTTTGAACAGAATTGCTCCTTTTATAATGTCTTATTGTTATTGCACAGCCTCAAGAACAGTCACTTTGCATTTCACTGCACAGACTGTATGAGCATGTGACAAATAAAAACTCTTCAAACTTTCACACAGTTCTGTGTTTGGAAGATGCAGATGTCCTACATGGATTTGTCATCCAGCTCATGGTGATCTTTGGAGGTTTAGTTTTAAAAAAAAGAAAAAAAAAGCAACTGGACTTCTCTTTCAGGCTCTGTAAGATGCTGCAAGAGGATTCTTCAGTTCAGAAACCTCTTAGATGAGAAGTCAAACGTCTTCTTTGTCTTCTGTTTACTGACCTCAACGGGCTCCAGTTAACACAGAACACACAGCTGAAACCAGAAGCTGTATAAGAAGACACATAAACTTTTTTTTTCTCACTGTCTGACATTAAATCAAATGAAACGTTTCCTGTTTTAGGTCAGTTAGGATTACCAACACTGTGCCAAAGCCATGACATCATCATCTGGGCTTTCCCAAACAGTTTGAAGGCATCTTAGTGGATGTAAACCTCTGACTTTGAAGAACGTAACACAAAATTCTCTAAAATAAATAAATAAACAATCTCTCTCATTATTCTGGCGTTTAACAAATAGAAGTAATTTTGGTAATTCTAACTGACCTAAAACAGGAAAAGTTTAGTCACATTTAATGTCAGACGTGAAAAAGAAAAAGGTTTGATGTGTTCTTACACAGCTGATGCAAACTTCTGATTTCAACTGCATCTGCTACACTTTGATGTAAAACCAGGAATGAAGAGCAGATCACCTCACTTTTAGTATCACTGCATTTGTTTTACGGCTGCTTTTTAGGATTTTATTACTTCATCTGCATCCATCATTTTCAGTGTAAAGCTCTGTCTGGTTTTTAAAAGTGCTATGCCAATAAACCTTATTATTTTTATGAATGAATGAAAAATACTTTATTTATCCCAGAAGGGAAATTCAATCCAGAAGGGAAATTCAATTAAAAGCTTGACGTTGTCGGCAGGATATATATAGTTATAATAAAGCTTACGTACCTCTGCTTCAGCTCTCTGCCTCATCTGTCTCATCTCCTGGTGATACTGCTGTCTGATGACATCCAGCTGTCTCAGGTACTCCTGCACACACAACCACACGCTCTGAAATTTACCTTTTATGCATCCCTACATTCTCTTTACTGAATCCTGCACCAATCTTTATTTTGAAGGCTTTAAAAAAAAACACTTTTTCCAGCACATTACCTGCTAAATTTGGTGCTAAATGGGTCTGAAAAGGGTACAGCTGTCATAAAACAGAGGTCATAAAACTGAAATACTGATATGAGAAGTTACAGCAGACTGTGTACAAGGTGGAAACATGAAATATATCAGCCTGCACTGAGAATCCACTTAGAAAAAACAACATTTTCTTATGTCTACAATCGATAAAAAAAAAAATTAAAACAAAATATAAACAGTAAAAATATAGTTATGATACAGGTTTAGCTAAATTTGGGGTCTGAAAAAGGTCCAGCTCATAAACTTCCACATACTAGTTTATTATAATATCAGTATAATATCACTTTTTCCATATGTAGAAGAACCTGTGTAATATCAGTTATTTTCCAGATTCAGAGGAATCTAAATACTTTAATGTTCTACATGTGGAAGAAGCAGTAAAATATCAGCAGTACTATTTTCATTTTTTACCAACGTTTGTTGGGTTTTAAACCTTTATTTGATCCCACACAGATCTTCTTATTGAGTGTTTTTCAAAACACACTTTCTTCAGTTGAATCTGCGCAATATCAGTGTTTTTTCTACATTTCAGCCTCGTGCAGTTTATTATCTCAATATCTTGATGTTCTACGCGTCAAATATCAACGGTATTTATGTATATTTCTTTTAAATTTTTTTACTTTTGTTCCCGACGTTTTAGCTCCATCCTCTTTGCTGCTGCAGTATTGCAGATTTCCCCGCTGTGGGATTAATGATCTTATCTCGTGTTATCCTGTGTAATCGTCCCACCTGTTGTCCCTCCTGTCTCCTGTCCTGAGGCGTCGGTTGGCGTTCGGGTTGGCCCGCTTCTTGGTCCTGATGTCCTCCAGGTTTCCTGCTGCTCTCAGCTGTGGACGGACGCAAACCCTGGAAGAGAAAAGGTTGAAGTTAGAGCGTCTAAACAGGAAGCTGCTTCACCGATAAAACATTTATACGATAATTTTGCTAATAAATGTAACGAATGAAACCCAAATGTCGTGATTCCAGCTTCTCAGATGTTTCAGCCTTTCTTTTAAACTATTTCTAAATATAATTTTCAGGGTGGACTGTTGGTTTAAACACAACAAGTACTGTGATGGTGTCAAAGCACAGCGCTAAAATGACGCTTACATATTAATAGTATTATTGTAGTAGTGATTAAATAGTGACAAGGCTGCATCGTCTTTTAAAAATGCAGGAATTTACTCACAAAGGAGAATTTCTATCGTGTGGTTTTATGACTTTTAATCAAGTAAACATGTTAAAAAACTTCTTCCACTGCTGTACATGTTTAGAATGTTTATATTTGTGTTTTATTTGTTTTTTTGTTTATTGTTTTTTTATTTTTGTTCCATTTTTCTTTTTGCTGAAAGCCGAGACCTCGGACTGCACTTTCATTGTGTGTATGCAAGCGTGTGCTTAATGACAATAAAGAAGGATTCTGATTCTGTCCATCAGCGTGGGATTGATCTGAATCAGCAAAAACCTGAAACAGAGTGAGTCGGTGTTGGAGCTTCGTCCTACCAGCTGCTTCTCTGCTCTCAGCTTGTACTGGTTGGCCTCCTGCCTCCTCTGCAGGTATTCGTTACGAGCTGCAGCCACACTGACAAACACAAAAACCGTCATATTGTTAATATTACAGAGTTTCTGGGCTTCACTGAGCCCCGGTGTGACAATATAGAAATAAAATTCAGCATAATAAGAAAAAATGTGAGCTCCAAAAACAAGCTGTGGCCTTACAGGAGCAGTGAAAACATTTATTCTTGTAGCTTGATGCCACCCTCATGTCTTTAAAACTTTTACACGTCTTAGTACTTGTACTTGGTGCAGTGATGCAGTCATGAAGTTGTCATCTTGGTTTCTGGTGAATTCTGATGTGCCTTTTTCTAAAGTAGCTGACTGGTTACTCACAGCTGATACGGTTCCACAGGAGGAGGAGTTTGGTCCTCACATCGCTCCTTTAGAAGAGGAGGAGGAGGAGGAGGAGGAAGAACGTCGTCCTTGTTCCTCCTCTCGAAGGCGTCCAGTTGAGCGTAGTAGTGCTGGTAATGGCTGACGGGCTGCTGACCGTTAAATCTGTAATTAGTAGCACATGTTGTACGTGTATGATGTCGATTTAGTGGTTAAGATCTGAGATTTCACACGTACAGCTGCAGCTCTCAAAATCAACTTTTGAGCAACAAATATGTGAAAGGAGAAGTTTGTAAGTGTCGTTCTGTGATTAATAAAAGTATCTTCTAGACTCACATTTCATTCGTATTACAACTGAGTGCACCGTATGTGCATCCAAATCTTAGTACTTTTGCACATCATCCAGGCATTTGGTGCATTTGTGGATAAAACGTGTGAAAA